CACAATGCATTGACATGATGCAAATAGTCATGGGTTGCCCGGCAAATAGGAAACATTACTTCTTACAATGGGTCATTACTTTCGAAACATTGGTTGCCCGCCTAGATTACAACTATTACAAAGAAAAGTTGTGACCTGAAAGTTTTCCCTTACAACTCAATATACTACCTCAGGTCACAAAACAAACATAAACAGACTCAGAGAAAAATAAACAGATGTGGTTGTGGCCTAAAAGCAAGCCACTAATAACATAGTACCTACTTAGTTGACGGATTAAAAGCATAATAGACACTGCTTGTATGGAACAGTGCAAGCGACATAATGGGAAATTCAGCAATTTACAAACCATGACAGCAAGAGTTCATGAGGGTAATTCAACAATTTATGAATCGAAGTGGTATGAGCTCAGTGGTCACTTTAGCAATGTACAAATCAAAAAGGCAAGAGCATCTAAGAAGAACATTACTTGCATTTCCATCTTCGCAAACAGTTAACATATGGAGATCGCAGACAGTTACCAGAACTATGACTACGAACACTGCTGTATCTTGGACAAATCTACTCGCAGCTCCAGCCGTCCGTGATGTCGCCTCCATCTCGGCTGTGCCGGAACGGATGAGTGCGGCGCCTCACATCAAATTAAACACAACAATAGGTACACAATTGGTGAGATAGGAGTACATAAATAGTTGAATAAGAGCAAAAAAGAAGGCTAAAAAATGGTTAGAGCTAATCTAAGCAATAAAGGAATAAATAAATAATCACCTCAACGGAAATAGTCTTAGTTGAAGGTAAAACTCAATGATGTACTATGAATGTAGAGACTGGCACATTGAAAACCACCGAATGGCATTGAGTATTTCTTTCTTCGGAAACTTGCGCACAAACAAACAGTGAGCCTCTATTTAATGAATGACTAATATGATGACTAACAGTGAGCTGCTGCCGGTGTATATGTGCGTGTGCTTGCTGCAAGCTTTAGTATATGAATGTTTGCACAAGAACATGCATAAAGCTCAGGTGAAGGTTGCATCTAAGTGGGGTATTGGGATTCAGTTTTTTTTACACTATGATGTACAGCGCTAGTAGATAAGTATCTTTTTTAGATTAGTAGATAAGTACTTAGTATAGATAAATCCTTTGCATTGACTTGACCCAAATGCATATATAATAACTGCATGCTATGAAAGCAGTGGCGGAGCATGACCAAAACACAACAGGGGGCCAAATCCATCTAAAAACACACAATATGCATGAAAAAGCTACTCATCATAGAACATATGTAAGCGATAATTTGTAGGGATCCCATAATTATATGACTAAACAATATGTCGTTTCCATTGTTGCTATATATCTAAATCAGGAATTTATAATGCATCAAATTTTTCAGCATTTAACCGATGCAGTGGACATCTATATGAATAAATTATCATCACACCTCGCTTCTTAGTTACTCTCTCCGTTCCAATCAAAAATAGGACATACACTTTCTGTAGTAAACTAACCAAGCGATTAGCTAGGCAAGCACGAAGCACCAACCAGCAGTGTCCAAGGTGTTTGATTTCAATCAACAAGGAGCCGCAACCCAGCAAGAGGATTAAGGTCCAGTGCGCACAAGTGTTGGTGCGTCCACCGTCCGGCGTGGTGGCTTGCCGGCGTCAGCGGCATGCAGCTCCAAGCCTCCGACCGATAAGAAGGGGATAGACAAGTCGATAAAGAGGAGGAGCCAAGGAGGTCATCAGACGAACGGACGAGTTCGCAATAGTCGGTCGCTCAAATCATGTCAGCGGAGGATGGTTCACAATAGCCGTGGCCTGGTAGTGATCTAGCCCTGCAGGAGAAGTCTATCGGAGCCGTGGAGAATCGGGGATGGACGCTGTTCCTAGACTGCTACTGGGCATTATCTCCTGGGCTGTGCTAAAGTAATGAATAAACTTTGTATAAAATTCTTTTTATAATTTTGGAAGGGGGGTCGTGGCCCAGTTTCGCCTCCACTACCCTCCTCCAGTGTATGAGAGGACAATCACATAACCAAATGACAAAGAAAATGTGTACTGTCTTATTTATCAGTGTTCTGAATCATATCAACAGCATCAAAGCAACATCATAGAAGAAACAATGTAGATTATTAATTCACCTGCTCACTAAACACAAAGATGTACGTGCTTTCCCCAACAGGTCCACGTCCACTAGTATTTGCGCTAGACGTGAAAGCCACCATTAGGAAGCTACTACCTCCACCTGAATAACCTGACCATCAGACTCCCAAAAAGTGTGAAATTGCAACAAAAACTTTGATTAGTAACTCATCAAAACTGCAATACAGAGATCTATTAAGACTGGATCCCTCTTTAAATAGTGTAACTCTTGTAATAGACTATTTAACATGGGGTCCGCATATAAGAAGTAGTGTTTCTCTACATAAAAAAATAGAAAGGATTAACGACTCATCTACCAAGGATGGATGAGTTAGCACTTAGCAGCGTATAAGAATTTTTAAAAATTTGATGCTCCATTGATATCTAATAATTACTAATTTAATAGAGTAGCAATCAGTGCATAAATGTAAATCAACGGAGATCGGAAGTCAGTCTACAGGCCTATCAGTGTTCGTCAATGAAATGCACAAGGGACAAACTTTTTTGATAGGGAT